ATGGTCCACGTTTTGCAAAATAAAAAGAATCCAAAAGAAAAGAAAGAAAGAAAGGTCGTTTCAAAAAATACCCTGTCAAAAAATTGAAACCTTCTTTAAAAGTTCATGTATTCCACCAAATCGCTTAAAAATGGTTTGCTGGTCAGTAGGATATCTTGGTAAAAAATTGACTACAAAAAAAGATCGATAAGCCTGAAATCAGTCATTTTTCAATTTTTATCAGAGAAATCAATAAAAAATCAAGATGCTCATGATGAAAAAGATCTTTAGTGTGTGTGTGTTTTTTTGGAAAAAAAGAAAATTGAAAAACATAAAATGGAAAATAATTTTTTCAAATTTCGTTTTGGAACGTCTGAATTATTGAATCCCTGAAAACAAGTTCATAAAAACAATCAATCTTTATTAATCAATTCAAATCAATAAACAAAAACCAAGAACAAAAACTACAGTAATCCAAAACTGCAAAAAATTCTGGAATCCAGAATCGAGAAGAGGTTCTCCAGTTGGAAAATCCTCATCATAATCATCTCCATCCACTTCCACGTAATCCTCCAATTCTTTTGGTAGAGTTGCCGTTTCTGGAGACAATTTCGTTTTTTGAGAATTTTCTGGATTTTTAGTTCCCGGAAGTGTTGATTTTAGATCTGGTTCTTGGGTTGTTGGCTGGATTGTTTGTTTAGGATCCAGGGGAGGTTTAGGAGTGGCCTCAGAAGACGCTGATGTTGAATTTCGAGATCCATTAGGAAGGATGATAACGTTCGGAGTTGTTTGAGCAGTAACCCATGTGCATATTCCATCTGAATTGTTGTAATTCCTTTTGCATTCCGATCCAGGATCTCCTTTTTTCCATTCTCCAGGCATGTTTCTGAAAATTGGATTATCGTGAATTTTTTTCAACCGTTTTCTTCAATTTCAATGGGTTGATCCCTCAATTTTTCGATTTCTTACTTTTTAAAAGTTTCGAGTGACCGCATTATTTTTTTTTCGGAAAGTCCTCCTTCAAATTATTTATTTTCGTCTTTTTAAAATTTACCCTTTGATACTGATTCGGCCTCTTCAAGGTTATCACTCACTCTGGTCCAAACACACAAACTATTCTGGCATTATTTCTTCCGTACTTTGTACTGTTCACACATGCCATATGAGTTTGCAACGGGTGCATATAATCAGTCACACTTTCAATTTTCTTATTCATTAAACTCGTATACAAGTCCAAGTCTCTTTCCCATTCAAGTGCTATTTCCTTGTAATTATTGGAAAGAGGTACTGTAACTATATAAAAAGGGAAACTGTCGATTTTGTCCAGATCTCTTTTCGAGATGTTTGCAGCAATATCACTGAGTTTCTCGCTCCACGTCTGTAAAAAATCTGTAAATCTAAGTATCCAGATTAGGGTTTCCATTTGGAGGGAGATTCACCCGCCCGCACCCGCCCGGGGGGATCGGGGAGCCGTGGGTGGCCCCCCCCCCCTCCGGCGGGTGGCTCTTTTTTCCACCCGCCCAAATGGAATCCCTAATCCAGATGTCTTGCCTACCAGCTGGTGCATATTTGGAATATCCCAATGTTTTGCTATCTCTTTCCTCTTTTCGTTAATCTGAGCAATGAATTTTGCCTGCTCTTTGTCAGGAAAGTTCATGGAAACAGTGGATAAAATCAATAAAAAGATGTTGATGATAAAGATTTTTTTCATCATGAGCATCTTATCTTTTTTATTGGTTTCTTTGATGAAAATTTAAAATTGAACTTTTTTAGTTTTTTTTAAATCTTTTTATAGACAGTTTCTTATCAAGATGGCCTACTGACCGAAAACCAACTTTTCGTTTTTTTTTTCTGAATATTGGTTTTTTTAATTAGCAAAAAAAATCAAAATTTTTTAGAATACGTGAACTCTATCAAAGTGACTCTGGAACTTTGTAAGTGTCACTTTTTTAAAATCCACGTATTCAAAAAATCCGAAAAAAATGGGCTCATGGTCATCTTGATAAGAAACTGGCTATAAAAGAAAAGCTTTGTGCCTGAAAGCGGTCAATTTTCAATTTTCGTCTGAGAAATCAATAAAAAAAGATGCTCATGATGAAAAATATCTTCATCATCAACATATTTTTATTGATTTCATCCACTGTTTCCATGAATTCTCCTGATCAAGAGCAGGAAAAATTCATTGCTCAGATTAACGAGGAAAAGAAAAAGGTAGCAAATGAATGGAATATTCCAAATATGCATGAACTGGTAGACAAGACTTCCGGATTTTCCGATTTACAGATTTTGTTTTGCAGACTTGGAGCCAGGAACTCAGTGATATTGTCGCAACCATCTCAAAAACCGATTATGAAAAAACCAGAACAACTTCTTCCTATACTATCATGACCTACCGTATCACTGACTACACAGCAATGGGAGAAGGGTGGAAAACAAAATTTAACGAATTGTTAAACAAAGGAGAATCTAACGAATTTGTTAATTCGTTGCAAACTGATATAGCATGTGTGAAGAGGACAAATTACGGAGAAAATATAACATCAGTTTGTTTGTTAGGACCAGAGTGAGTTATGGCCGAATCATTACTAAAGGGTATATTTTAAAGAAGACGAAAATACATAATATCCCAAGTAGATTTTAGTTTTCAATTTTCACGCGATTTTTTATATTCTGCGTGACATGTCTCTATTTTATCAAAATTTTGAGTAGCAGGTTTTTTTTTTGAAAGTCAAGTCGCGAATGTTTTAAATTTTTCGTGAACTTTTTTTGCATTTTTCAAAATGCTGAAAATATTTTTAAGAGCTGAAATGACTTCTATGGGGTATTTGTTTTTAGGTGAAAATGTTTCAAAATAAACCATTTGAAAAAAAAAACGTCTTTTCTAAAAATTCGAGCTTTTAAAAATAGAAAAATGTCACACACCAAGTGAAAATATCGCTTAAAAATCGAAAAATTAATTGCCAAGCTTTGGTGGAAGTATATTGAAAGCGAGCTTGCTTTTTTTTCTGATTGACGTCTAGGGGGCTGAAAAGGTGAAAAATATTATAGTTGGAAATTTATCTACCAGCGGAAAATTCCCCCACTGGTATTCACTTCTGGTTCATCCTAAAAGGTTGTTATTGGAGAATCAAGTTTGTATTTGTTTTTATTAGTAAAACAATTGTATGTATTAGTTAAACAACTGAATAGTATTTTGTAATTTGCTTATTAGAACGTTTCTATGAAGCTTTCAAATAAACTTTATAAAATGTTAAAAAAATGAATTTTAACAACAAAAAAACGGAAAAGCTTATAGAACTATGAGACTCAAAAAAGTTATGAGCAAGAATACAAATAAGATGTCCTAGAATTTCCTGAAAAATTCAAAAATGTTACAGGAAGTTCTAGAAAGTTTTAGAAAGTAAAAAAAATACTGGGAAATTTTTTTTGAATTCTCGCCAAAACATATTTTTTCGAATTCCCGCCTAAATTCTTTTTTTTTAATTCCCGCCAAAATATTCCTTTGAATTTCCGCCAAAATCTTTTTTTTTGAATTCCCGCCAAAATTCTTTTTTTTTTAAATTTCCGCCAAAATCTTTTTTTTTTTGAATTCCCGCCAAAACATATTTTTTCGAACTCCCGCGAAAATTCTTTTTTTGAATTCCCGCAAAAATTCTTTTTTTTGAATTCCCGCCAAAATTCTTTTTTTGAATTCCCGCCAAAATATTTTTTTAAAATTTCTGCCATGGTATTTTTTTGAATTCCCGCCTAAACATAGTTTTTCGAACTCCCGCCAAAATTCTTTTTTTTAAATTCCCGCCAAAATATTCTTTTGAATTTCCGTCAAAATCTTTTTTTTTGAATTCCTGCCAAAATATTTTTTTTTAATTTCTGCCATGGTTTTTTTTTTGATTCCCGCCTAAACATATTTTTTTCGAACTCCCGCCAAAATTCTTTTTTTGAATTCCTGCCAAAATATTTTTTTTTGAATTTCCGCCAAAATTTCGTTCCGAATTCGTGCCGTTCAGAAACATTCTTGGAACGTTCTTGATTCTTCTAGAATTTACTAGAATATGAACTTTCACAGTACGGTATCTACGGCCATTCTGTACAAAAAATTGAAATTTCACAGGCTTCGATGCAAGTCTGGGCTCAGTTGGTCCAGTATTGGCAATTTTAGAATTTTTCGGTTACTGTAGCTACCGTAATCCTACAGTAATCTGACCATGTAAATATACGAAATTGAAGCGCTCGGGTGATCATGGGTAGTGCCCAAAAATGAAAACAAACGGTCAAGTAAGGAAAAAGTTATTCAAGGGACAACGCCGGACGGACGGACACACAAACAGAACTATTCCTTTAGTAAGGAGAAGATTTTGAAGTCCTTCTTCAAAAACTAACAAGTTCAACTTTCGAAATTGGAGAAAATAAATTTCATGATACGCTAATTTTAGAAACACGCGTGGACAATGGAAGAAAGGAGTGCCTGGATCGGAATGCAAATGGAAATACAACAATTCAGATGGAATATGTACACGGGATATTGCTCAGGAAAAGTTTATAGATGGTTTGAACTCTTTAAGGCGGCAAACTGCCTCTCTAAATGGGTACCCCCAGATGAGAAAGCTCGTAAGGGGAATTTTCAAAAAAAAAATTGAATTATTAAATTTTCCAGATTTGGATCGAAACACTTCACAACGTCGTAAGAAGTATCATTCCCTCCAACACGACCCTTAAACATGATAAGAGAGGAAATTGGCGATTTATATTCATTTCCAATTATACGACAGGACTTGATAAGTTAAAAAATGCACCTTTCGACGAAGATACAGTATACAAAAATCTATACTGGCACCGAGTCGAGCATATTAATCCATTTCAATCTGCAATTGCTTGTTATGAAAAAGCGAATCTTGGATATGGTTTTAAAATTATGTGCTTGTTCGGATTTGAGTGAGTTCTAGTAGCTTTTTGACTATATTTTTTAAAATATTAAGTTTAGAAAGGATATAGACGTGAGTAGCTGGAAATCAAGACGCGGAAACATGAACTGTGGACCAAACTACAGAAAGGAGCAAACTACAGAAAGGAGCAAACTACAGAAAGGAGCTTATGTGTTGTGGAAGAGACGCCGTGAGTATTATTTTTCTACTGAAAACTTTTTTTAAAAATTCAATTTTCAGATTAACTCAAAAACCTCTGGGTGTTACCATCCCCTCTAATGGACCTCCAAATTCAACATCAGCGTTTTCTGAGTCCCCAACGTCTTCTAAATCTCCCCTGGATCCGAAACAAAGAAACCAAACAACAACACAAGGACCGAATCCAAACTCAACATTTCCTGGACCAAAAATTCTGGGAATCCCTTAAAGAAAGTTTCCAGAAACGGCAACTCTACCAAAAGAATTGGAGGATTACGTGGAAGTGGATGGAGATGATTATGATGAGGATTTTCCAACTGGAGAACCTCTTCTCGATTCTGGATTTGAGAATTTTTTGCAGTTTTGGATTACTGTAGTTTTTGTTCTTTGTTTTTGTTTATTGATTTGAATTGATTAATAAAGATTAAAAACAAATTATTGGAATTCAGAAGGCTCGAGAACCAAAAAAAAGATGATTAGTAAATCAGAAATTTCCAAAAAACTTGGAAAATCAGAAATTTCACCGCCAAATTCCCTAAATCTTTTGTCCAATTTTTCTGAAAAAATAATCCTGGCCACGTTAAGTTTTCCTTTCATAATATCATGATATCAGTTCAGCTTCACGTTCTCAGAAATTCTAAATTTCAAATTATTTAAAACTCTAATTTTAAAGGTCACTGTGCCATCTTGATAATCCACGACCATAAAATTAATGTTTGCCAACTCAAAAATCGAAATCAGTTTTCAATATATTTTCCAATTGATAACAAGATAATCACCATTAAAATGAAAACAATCTTTATCATGTTTTTATTGATATCGACTTTAATTATCACTAGTTCTACGGTTACTCTGGATAAACAACAATCTGATTTTATTGATTCAATCAATAAGGAAAGAAGGTACTTTGCAAAGGCAAAGCAAATTGGAAACATGCACAAATTGGTGAGTTTTTTTGAAATATTTTATTTAAGAAATCGGTTTCGATTAATACCGTTTTTAGTATTGTGACCAGAATTTACAAATATTTGTGAACCAGCTGAAAGTCGAGGATTCCCGTAATAACTCGTATCTTACACCAGTCTTGAGTATGGATCAAAACGGGATCAGTGAGCTGAACAGAGCAAGAGACAAATGGTGGCCAAACAATACCGATTTCGTTTTCGTCTATACCAGACATGAGTACATGTATCCGTTGCAGACTACTGTAGCTTGCGTGAGAACAGAATTCTGGCCACGCTACAACTATTCTTGTTTTTTCGGTCCAAAGTGAGTTTTGGGTTTTTGAAGAACCTCGAAAGAAAATTTATCAGAGAAATCAATAAAAAATCAAGATGCTCATGATGAAAAAGATCTTTAGTGTGTGTGTGTGTGTTTTTTTGGAAAAAAAGAAAATTGAAAAACATAAAATGGAAAATGATTTTTTCAAATTTCGTTTTGGAACGTCTGAATTATTGAATCCCTGAAAACAAGTTCATAAAAACAATCAATCTTTATTAATCAATTCAAATCAATAAACAAAAACCAAGAACAAAAACTACAGTAATCCAAAACTGCAAAAAATTCTTGAATCCAGAATCGAGAAGAGGTTCTCCAGTTGGAAAATCCTCATCATAATCATCTCCATCCACTTCCACGTAGTCCTCCAATTCTTTTGGTAGAGTTGCCGTTTCTGGAGATAATTTTGTTTTCCTGGAACTCGAACTTTCTGGATTCTTTGGTCTCGGAGGCGTTGGGTTTAGATTTGTGGGAGTTGAATGATTTGTTTGATGATGAGTTTGTGTTTCTGGCGCTTCTGAAATTGGCAAAACGTTTGAATTGTTGTTGGGATTCACAGTTGTAGCGGATGGTCTGAAAATTTCCAGGTTTAAAGAAGAAATGCACTAGAATTTGACTGACGTTTGTGGAGGAGATTTAACACATAATCCTGTCCCATCGTACTTGAAACCATTCATACAGCTATTTTCAGGTGTTTCATCTGGTCTGGAAGATATTCTCTGTTTTTCTGGTTTTTCTATACCTTTTGAAAGCTTTAACAAAACCTACTCTGGACCGAAAAAACAAGTGAAGTCGTGGTTCGTAAAAAGCGATATTTTTACGCAAGCTACAGTAGTCTGCCACGGATACATGCAGACACGTTTGTATTTTTCTATTCCTTTTTCCAATGCATTGATGCCTTTTTGATCCATACTTCGGACTGGGACGCAGGGGATTATCTTACATTTACCGATGAGTGCGCTTTCATTAGACTCAACCACAAATTTTTGTAATCCTTCATCCCAATACTGAAAATATTAGAAATATGGTTAATTTTCGAAATTAAAAAAAACTAACCAGTTTGTGCATGTTAATGATGTTGTAATATTTAGCAACTTTACGTCTGACTACATTGATTAAATCAATAAAATCCGATTGTTGTTTATCCAGAGTAGCCGTAGAACTAGTGATCGTTGAAGTCGATATCAACAAAAAGATGATAAAGATTGTCTTCATCTTGATCGTAAAAATATATTGAAAACTGATTTCGATTTTTGAGTTGGCAAACATTTTTTATAGTCCTGGATTATCAAGATGGCACAGTGACCTTTCGAGGTGAAAAAAGATTTTCGAGATGGAAAAATAAGAGGAAAAATATAGATTTGGGGGGCTAAACAAGAAAATTTGAATTTGAATATTTTAGAGAACGTGAATGATTTTTTTTCAAAAAATTGGACAAAATATTATAAAAATTTAGCGTCAGAAATACTGAATTTTTGAATTTTTGAATTCTTGAATTTTTGAATTTTTGAATTCCGGAATTTCTGAATTTCTGAATTTCTGAATTTTTGAATTTCTGAATTTTTGAATTTTTGAATTTCTGAATTTTTGAATTTTTGAATTTTTGAATTTTTGAATTTTTGAATTTTTGAATTTTTGAATTTCTGAATTTTTGAAGTTTTGATTTTTTGGTTTTTTGAATTTTTGAATTTTTGAAGTTTTGAATTTTTGAATTTTTGAATTTTTGAATTTTTGAATTTTTGAATTTTTGAATTTTTGAATTTTTGAATTTTTGAATTTTTGAATTTTTGAATTTTTGAATTTTTGAATTTTTGGATTTTTGAATTTTTGAATTTCTGAATTTCTGAATTTCTGAATTTCTGAATTTTTGAATTTTTGAATTTTTGAATTTTTGATTTTCTAGTTTTAGAATTCAGAAAAATTCAAATTCAGAAATTCAGAATCTCAGGAGTTTAAAGATCCAGCGATTCGGAGATTCAGAAGATCGGAAACTCCGAAACTCGGAAATTCTAAATTCAAAATCCTCTCAATTCAGATCATCCTTGTTAGTTATTCTAATGGCTGTATCATTTTTCATTTTCGAATGTATATATATTTTAATGTTTTATTTCAAAGACGAGGAAAATGCTTCTCAAAACGACTATAATCATAATTTGATGTCTGTAAAAAAATTTGTTAAAAAAAGCATTTAATTGATTCTTTCCAGTCAATTATGTTTGATAGTTTTTCGAAAAGTATCCTGACGTTCAATTCAATTTTACACTGTCTTTTGAGCTTTTTATTATCAAGTCAGTATTGGCAAGTTGTGAAAAAACTTACCGTAAAACCTCTAATAGAACGACACCGGGATGNGGGCATTCGAATACCCAGNGATAAATGTGGGAAATGAGGACAAAATATCCTTCCGCATTGATCCGGATAGAGGTAAATAAAATAAAGCATCATTTCGCAGATTATAATTTTCAGCATCCGGGTCCTTCAAAGATTTGTTTCTGAAAAGCCACTAAGGAGTCTTCAATCTCAACATCTTATAGTGTGCATTGCATTTTATAATCCGGAATTTTCGTTTTTTTTAGGAAAATAATTTTTACTTTACTTTTATGGCGCTTTTGATTAATTTTCGACGTTTGCTTCAAGCATATTATTAAACTGTTCTAAAAACTATGC